GGTCCGGAACAGGACTGGTGCCGGCTCATCCGTCGAGCGGCTTATATACCCTGCCGGCGGTTCCCCCACTCTACATCGAGGCTGTGGTGGGGGTAATGCCGGCGTCGTAGTGGGGCGCCTCTGGGGGTTGTAGTGGGGCGCCCCTGGGGTAGGGTGACCCGTGTATCGCTTATGTTTTTGTGTTTAGGGGCGCCTTAGGCGCCATAGCCTCAAGTGGGCGGCGGGTGATCGGCCCGCGAGGCGTTAGTAACGGCCACGCCGTTAAAAATAAAATAATATGACATATATTATATTGTAGCTATATCTCAAATAGCAATTGTATACTTTGTAATGTAAATTTGCAAATATTAATTTTTTGATTAGTCCATAAAAGAAATACAAGTAAATATTTTTCAAGCATTTTATAACGAGAGACTACGTGAAAAAGAAACAAATTGCCCATTTTTGTCGTATTAATCATGAAGATCATTCATACAATTATGAAACTTTTTGTGCATAAATTATCAGTGCAGTAATCCAATAGGCATATCATCTCTATTTTTCTCCTTCTCTACGTTATGTATCTTAAAATTATTTTGAATAATATCTGCGTATTCTTTAGCTCTTATTTCCGCAAATTTACGTGCTAATTCATTCTTGAATTCAACTCTTAGATTATTCGGCATGTCGTCCAAAAAGTTAAAAGTACATTGTGAAGTGACCATGGCTATCGAATTGAATAAAATATATACGATTAATTTAGAATTTGTAAATCAAATAAATGAGAAAAAATATTAAAACATTATATTAATTACGTAGCCTAGAATTTAATTTTTGCTTGTATATATATCAAGGAAAAGACTTACATAGAAATGTTTCTGCATTATCCTTGTAGTTCAATATCCGATGACTGCAATGATTAACTTGAAATCCAATATTTTCAAGTATTTCTATTATCTCTTCACGAGGTTGGATTGAATATTGAAGTGACCCAACATACTTTGCTTTGTCCTATATAAAAGATAATTGACAATATATACAGTTAAAAAATTAAATGTGCAATATATATATTATTATTACATAAAAATATTTGTTATACAAAAAAGATGTATCCAAATTAACTCAGGCATCAAAATTAATTATCTTGACGTAATTTGAGATTAAAATGACAAATTTTGCTATCTATAGAAATGTCGAATAATACAAGTACACATAAAACAAAATTGAATCTCATATCTTATGTTAGCCAAATCTATATAAGCATACATTCGGAGGATTTTAAAATAAAAATTTCACAGTTACACAAAAATTTATTCTACAATATAATCTTATATTATATTTCAATTTGCAATAATATTCACCCCCATATACGATGCATATCGCTCATCTTGCGCCATAATTTTCGAAACTTCAAAAAAACTATGATGAACTATATATAATATCAGCATAGTTTTGCCAGGTCGAAGCATACATACATATTTTCAAACGTCTGGCTGTTGAATAACGAAGATAAATGTTAATGATTGTAATTTTAAAAATATATAAATTATTAGAATTATTTGAAACACATAGTTATGCAAAGTATATATTAGTAAAATCATATATTACGAAAATTCTTTCTTACAAAAATAATATTGTAATTTACCATTATTAAATAAATTTTCTTACCGAATGTCATGACACCATTGCAAAGTGTAAAATGAGAATATATGATCAAATTTCGAAATATACTTCTCCGGCAAATTTTTTGTTTGAATATCCAACACTTCGAATTTGAGTCGTTCCTTGTCACCGTACATTTTATTTGCGTATTCGGTCGTACTTGCATTAATATTGTGCCTTTATATAATCAGGAGACGCGGTAGCGTCTCGCTAAGTTATATCTTTTATTCGTCAAATTAAAATACAATCTACAAAAAAACAAAAAAAATATATGAAAGATATCGAAAAGATAGCGAAAATATCGAAACAATAGCGAAAATTATCCGTAGGACGCTACTGTGTATCCTTTACCGGACGTAACACGATTTTCGTAACCTTGAAAACAAAAATTTGAAATATTTCATGAACGGAAACATATTTTTCAAAAGATGACCATATCAATCGAAAGCGCGATTTTTTCCGAGTAAAATGAGACTTTAAGGAACTTGGATAGCTCTATTGGTTGCGGAGATATGAATTTTTCAAGTTATTTTTTGGTCGAAAAGGTGTCACTTTTTTTAAGATACGGCGTCGTACTTGTCCCGATCACCCATCCCGACAAAGTGATTCTGTCCGAAGCTGCTTTACCTTATCCGCGGTCACCCATCCTAGTATAGTGACATTTTCCTCAGCTGCTTAACCTTTTAAGCAACCAAACAAAAAATAAATTCTTGCTCTCTCTCACTCTCTCTCTCTCTCCTCCTCTCTCTCCCCTCACTCTCCCCCTCTTTCACCCTTTCTCTCTTGCTTTCCCACGTCTTTTTCGCTCTCTCTCTCGCCCTCTCTCGCTTTCTCTCGCTGTCTCTCGCTCTCTCTTGCTCTCTACCGCTCTCTCGCGTTCTCTCGCTCTCTGCCGCTCTCTCTCGCGTTCTCTCGCTCTCTCCCACTCTCTCTCGCGTTTCTCTCGCTCTCTCTCGTCGTCTCTCGCTCTCTCTCGGTTTTTTTCGCTCTTTCTCGCTTTCTCGCTGTTCTCGCCTTCTCTCGTTCTCTCTCGCTCTCTCGCTTTCTTCCGGTCTCTCTCGCTCTCTCCCGCTCTCTCTCGCGTTCTCTCGGCTCTCTCTCGCTCTCTCTCGCTCCCTCTCGTCTTCTCTCACTCTCTCTCGCTTTCTCACGCTCTTTCTCGCCTTCTCTCGTTCTCTCCCTCTCTCTCTCTCTCTCTGAAGTGGAGAAGACGTGTGTCACATCGCTCCGTCAAAATACTGAGTTTTCACCGGTAAACAGTGGAAAAGAAGTATAATAAGTTATTCAAGTTACGCTGCCATAAAAAGGGGATAGCTATGAAAGTTATCTAGCCGGGATATGGCGATCTGTGACTGTGAGCAGTGAATTTATTCTTCGGGGCATTGAAGTCTCGTAAGACAAGTAGACATTATACGTGGAAAGTGGATCACAGGTGAGTGATCGATTAGGCTGATATTAGCGGTTTCGGCCGGTAATTATCGGCATGGACGATGAATATGCAGAGTATCGATGCTCGGCATGTAGGAAGGCAATAAAGAATAAAGTCGTCAAATGCAAAACTTGTATAAATAAGCTTTTTTACCATCCAGGATGTGTAATTAAGCATAAAATTCTGGACAGTAGACAAGAATTAGTGCCGTGTAAAGGCCCATTTGAGGAGTTTTTGATTGATAGTAAAGAAACAAACATGAAGACGGCAGGAAGAGATAGGACATCGTCTACAGGATCCGTGGGATCTGCAGGATCGTTCACAAGTAAAGGATCAGGCATTGATGTAAAAGTAGACTGGATCATAAAAACTGTAAAGGAAATAAAAAATGAAACAGCCTGTAAAAATGAAATTAAACTAATGATTAAAGAAGTAGTTCAAGAAGAATTAGTAAATGTTAAGCAAGAACTGGAAAACTTGAAGAAAATGATACAGGGAGTAACATGTGTATCAAAGGAAGAATCGCAGATAAGCTACAGTGAAGCGGTTAAAGGGAAGAAGAAAGAAAACGTTATAATTGTTAAGCCGAAAATGCAACAAGAGAGTGAAGCCACTAAAAAATTGATAAAAGAAAAGGTGGATATTAAGAGTATGGCTATGGGAATAACGAAATTAAGGAAAGGTAGCAAGGGAACAGTGATCGTGGGTTGTGAAACCGGCGAGGAGGTGAAAAAATTGAAGGAGACAGTTCAAGCTAAGCTGGGAGAAAATTATAAAGTGATAGAGTCGCCTCAATCAAAACCAAAGATAAAAATTATTAATATAGGTGTAGAAGAGATGAAATTAGATGATAATGAACTTATAAATACGATAAAGATGCAGAATAAAATAGATACAGCAAATATGCGAATTGTGAAGAGAATGATCAAAGAAAGGAGAAATAATCAATCTGAAAGAAAAGGAAATGAAGAAGGGTCAATAATAATAGAAGCAGATGAAGAGACACATGAGCTGATATTGAAGAAAGGAAAGCTAAGTGTAGGATGGAAGAAGTGTCCGGTATTTAATCACATCAATGTTAAAAGATGTTTCAAATGCTGGGGATATTATCATATTGCAAAAAATTGTACGCGAGAGGAAGCATGCTATAAATGTGCAGGAAGTCATAACTCGCGTGATTGTACAGCGACAAAGAAGAAATGTGTGAATTGTATGTTCAAAAATCGAACATACAATCTGAATATAAGCGATGACCATGACGCCCTTAGTCCGGAATGTCCGACCTTTAAGAGGGCGCTACGGGAGGAGAAGAGGAGAGCAGGCTGGGAGGACGCTAAATAGCAACCACAGGAAGAAGCGGAGATAATACTATATACAAATGCGCAAAGTTTAATTGCGCACAGAGATGAGATACAACATCAGATCATGAAGAAAATAAATCCTGCGTTCTTAGCATTATCGGAGACCAGAGTGACTGAGGATATCGAAGACAGTGAAGTGAACGTTCCGGGTTATAGTATAGTTAGATGTAATGCTGAGAATAGGAATACGGGAGGAGTTATTTTATACGTTAGAAGCGATATTAAATATGAAATAGTATTAGAGGGAAAAAAAATTAGAATCGAATTGTTGGTGTGTTGCGGTAGAAGTAAAAGATAAATTATATAAAGGAGTGATAATGGTAATATATCACTCACCGAGCGCATCGCACGGAGATTTCTTGAGATTTTTCGAGGATATAGTAGAAGAGTTTATAATAAAGGGAGAATGCATGGTAATAGGAGATTTTAATATAGATCTTATGAGAGATTCGTTTTATGCGAATAAACTGCAAACGACAATGCTAAGCTTAGGTATGAAACAATATGTTAACGAACCGACGAGAATTACGAAAGACAGTCAGACAATTATAGATTTGATCTTCGCTAATAATAATAAAATAGTACAGGTAATTCATGAACCTAAAATTACGGATCACGCGTGGCTGAAAGTTGAGCTGAGTGTTAGTAAAACTGAAAGTAAATATAGAGAATTTAGTGCTAGGAATTATAAAGAGTTTGATGAAAATAAATTTGCTATATTAGTGAAAAATAAATTACAAGAAAGCCAGGAATGTCAGTGTGAATGTATGGGTGTCAGTGAGAGGGCGAAAAAACTTGTCGATAGTATAGTGGGTGCGTTAGATGTAATGGCGCCGAGGAAAAAATTTAGAATTCCGAAAGTTTGGGAAGGGAAGAAATGGTTTTCAGACGAAATAAAAGAGGCTGCGGATAGAAGGGATAAGGCATATAGAAGAGCATTGTATGACGATACCGAACAAAATTGGTCGCAGTATAAAATTGAAAGAAATACAGTAGTAAAATTAATTAGGGAGAAGAAAAAAGAATATTATGAAAATATGATAGATCTTAATAAAGAAAATCCTACGTCTATGTGGAAAACCTTGAAAGAAATAATTAGAGGCGAGCCAGTAGGCATAAAAGAGGTAGGAAATATAGATTTTGAAATTTTAGGCGATATCGAAGAGTGCAATATAGCTGATAAATTTAATTTATATTATATACAAAGTATTAATAGTATAATAAACTCTATAAAGGTCGTTAGATCCGGTGATATAATCGATCATTGGATGAATATAAATAAGAAAATTATTTATATTATCGAAAATAAAGGATTTATGGAAAATTTCGTGACTATTAAACTAGAGCAGTTAGAAAAAATTGTTATGGGATTGCCGAAAAAGAAAGGTACGGAAGAGGGAATAACTAGCGATATATTGAGGACAACTTTTTCTGTAATAAAAGAGGAATTTGCGAATATAATAAACAATTCTTTAAGAGAAGGTCTCTGTCCGGAAGGTTGGAAAACCTCTACGATAATACCGATTCCAAAGATAGATAAAGCGAAAAAAGCGAGCGATTATAGGCCTATAAATATGTTACCAATATTTGAAAAAGTGTTAGAATTAGTAGTAAAAGAACAACTTGAAATGTATTTGGAAACTAACGATATTATAACAGAACATCAGTCGGGGTTTAGAAAATATTACTCGTGTGAAACAGCGATTCAAACTGTCATTGACGAATGGAAATTAATAGTAAGCGAAGGAAAAATGGTAGGTGTAATTTTCATGGATCTTAAGAGAGCGTTTGAAACAATAGACAGAGAAAGATTATTAGGAAAAATGTATTATTATGGAATTAGAGGAATGGCCTTAGAATGGTTCAAATCATATTTAAATAATAGGAAACAGCAAGTGCGTTTCAATCATACATGGTCTAAATTATTGACAACAGAATACGGAGTGCCACAAGGCTCGGTACTAGGACCTTTACTATTTATAATATATATAAATGATATAATCG